CAGCAGGTAGCCTTTCTGCTGCCCCCGGGTTACCGTATTTTTCCGGCAGTCCTGCGGGTCCCCGTCCCCCACCCCCGCTTCCTACCCCGGCACACCGCCGCTGCCTAGCGTGCCTGCGTTCAGGCGAGAGGTGGGGCGTGCTGGCTCCCCTCCCCGTCACCGTTGAGATGCCCCTAAATGATGGCCAGCTTAGCGTGAAGCACCCTCCCAGGGACCTGGGCCGGTGTCTGGTGGTGGCCGCAGCACAGGGCTGGGCCCAGCCATGCGGGGAGTGAGGAACAGGAGGGCGAGGGAGTGGGGAGAGCAGGCTGGCTGGTCCTCATGGCGTGGAGGACTGTCCACCCTGAACGGCTTTCACCCACCCCGTGGATCCCTTTTGCCGAGGCTGCCCTTTGTTGCCAATGTCAGGAGAGGAAGGAGAGTTTCGAAATCAGAGCGGCCCCTCCACCCACGCCGGAACCAAGGTGCAGGCCTCCCGGCTGAGCACTGGCCTTGTTACCGGGCTTTAGCCCTGGGGGGTCTGGTCCTGGTCTTGTTGGGTGATGAAGCAGCCACCAGGCTTGACCAAGGCTAACCCTTTGGTCTCAGTCCCCCTGTTAGTAAAATGACCAGATAGTTTGATCTAGAGTTTGAGATGAGTCTCTGGGCTGGGAAGCTGGTTGCCATTTACACTCTGACCTCTCACTTGGCCCAGTGGCACCTGTGCTATCTGCTATCACTTTGCCACCCCATCCTGTGGTGTTATCAGGTCATTGTAACGTCCTTGGGTCTAACAGAGGCTCGAAGGCCTCTGATTGCAGCCCTCATCAGCCTCCACCTACCCTTTCCCCAGGCCCTCTTCCCCCCCCACCTCCCCACCTCCATCGGACAGGACTTTCTCAGGCCCAGCCTCTCCTGATCTCTGCAGTTGTGAACACAACTCCCCAATGGCCCTTGACTCCTGATTTCATTGTCTTCTCAACCCTTTTCCAGAGCCTTTCCTATCCCTCCTCGATCTCCACATAGTTTCTCCCTGGCTGAAGGCTTGTCTGTTCCCGTTACCCTGATGCTACCTTCACAACTGCATTTCAGCCCCTCTAGGCCGTCTCTGTGCCCGTGTGCCATGCTGTCCCATCAGTATGTCTGAAAGCAGACCTGGCCACGTTCACCCTCTTCCCCTCAGGCCAGCTGTGCTTTCCCCACTGTCGTGGCTCCGAATGGCACCATGGACCTCCCAGGTGCCATGTTCTTCCCATCTGGCCTCTTTGCATCTCTTCCTGGTCCAACCTCCACCACTACCATTATGACATCTCTGCCCTGGGCAGAGGCAGTGGCCCTAAGCTGTCCCCCTGCCTCCCACCCTCCGCCTCCCTCCACTCATCCAGCACTGGTCATCGGAAACTTGTTCTGCAGCTGGCTCCCATAGCTCCAGCCCATCCAGAGCCTATCCAAGTTCAGACTCCACGTCCATTCCCATCTTCGTTCTGTAGCCACTAAGTGAGCTGGCTCTGAGCCAGGCTGAGCCTGGCATTCAGGGCCTCCCAGGCCTGGCTCCTTCCCACAGTGCTCCTGCCAATGAGTGACTCCCAACTGCTAGGCCCTTGCCTGAATCAGAAATATCCCCCCACTTCCCCACCCCAATACTGGAGGCCCAGTTTGAAGGCCTTTTCCAAGACTCCTTTGCCTCCATCCCCAGCAGCTTTCCTTCGCCACCTGCCATGCTGTGCTTTGGTACTATGCCTCTCAGCCCTGCCCAGAAGAGCCCTACATGGGGTGGGCAGCAACCGACATCACCCATGGGGGCCTGTAGAGCAGGGACCTGGGGGAAAAGAAGTTGACTAGAGTCTCTGGGTAGATGAGAGGCCAGATACTGGGGGATCCCTCAGGCCTCAGACTGCTGCAGGGGGTGGAGCACAAGGTCAGAGGGGAGGCCAAAGCCAGAGAGGGCCAAGGGCCCAAAGGCTCACTGTGGCCCCAAGAGCAGAGGTGCTTGTCTGTCCATGACAGTGTCCTCAGCACTGTGCCTGGCAAGCTGGGGTGCTCAGTCAGTCCAAACATGATACCATGCACCAAAATTCAGGTACCTCTTCCTGCTACCCTGGGCAGTAGGCAGAAGACCCCCTCTGCTTCCCTAGGGTGGGAGGGGGGAATGGGAACCTCCTGCCCCGCCCTGGAGAGAGCTTGGGCCTGGGCAGGCTGGCACTGGATACCTGCCATGGTAGAGGGGACCTGGCACCACCACGACCCTCTCCCCTCATGCCCCAGCCCAGAGGTGGCTGAAAATGATCATTGGGCACAAAAGAGTCTGACACAGCCAAAGTCAGGCACTATTTTTTTATAAAAACGCATAGTCTCATTTTTCCACTTTAAAATCACATTCAAAAATCGGCAAAGAAACGCCCCAGGGAGTGAGCAGATGGGAGGGGAGGGTGAGCCAACCCAGCCCCTGGGGGAGAAGGCGCGACACCACACACGGCAGCGCGACTGGCACGAGGGGGCATGCGGCGGGCGAGGTGGCACCCTGTGGGTAGTGGCACTGACGGGACATGGGGCTGGGGCTGGACAGCCCGGGGTGCACATTGACCGGCCTGGGGTGGCAAGGGCTGGCCCAACTGGCCCCTCCTGCTGTGCTGCCCAGCCCACCCAGGCTGGCCCTTGTGGTCCTGGGCAGACAAGGCCTCGCCCAGTCCGGGGTCAGGGGGGCTTCAGGGCCAGGCTAGGCCAGCATGGTACAACCCGTAGTTGCCTTTTGGTGATCCTTGAGCCTGGGAGCTTAGAACGCGAGGAAGAGCGGGGCTGCAGTGACAGCAGCAGCACCTGCTGCCAACGCCACCCTCCTGGCCAAGCCCCAGTGTCCAGGGAAGGTGAGAATGGAGGCAGCCAGTGACGCAGGGACTCCTCCCGAGTGAGGGAGCAAGAGTCCAAGTCACTGTGGGCGGCCCTGGGGTCAGGGAAATAATGGGCTCCTCCTCCACCAACTGGCTGGAGGCAGGACAGTGCAGGGCTATGTACCTGTTGCAGGAGGGGCCAATGTGGAAAAGTTCAGGTAGTATTCCTGTGCCTCAGCCTCCCCGGGGGCGGAGGATGCCCAGCCACCCAGCTGAGCCGTGGGCACAGAGCACAGCCCCCGGAGCCTGAGGTGGCACTATCCCCAGGAAGGGGTAGGGGGCTGCTGGGGGCTGCTGCTCTCCCCCCCACAGGAAGACACTGGGAGTGGGCGACCCCTGGGGCGTCAGGGCTGAGGGTGGCTGGACAGTGGCTGGGTTGGTGGCAGCAGGAGCCAAGGCAAGCGGGCCCCTCCCTGGGGGCTGGGGCCACAGGAAATCACAATAATTACAAAATAAAACCTTTTCCGCTTTGCGGGAAAACAAATAATAAAAATCCGACAAAATAAATTAGAGGTTTATAAAAGGCGGGCGGGTGGGGGGTCAGAGGCCGTTGGCACTGCCACGCTGCACCAGCGGCACCTTGCTCAGCTCCACCACGGGCGAGCGGGCCTTGTTCTTCATCTTGGGCACCCGCTGCACCAGCTGCTGGGCCTCTCGGTAAGCGTCGCGCAGCTCTTTCTTCCACTGCACCAGCTCCGGGTCACTCTGCATATGGCAGGGGGTCGGTCAGGGGGGGCCTGGGTGCCCCGAAGGTCACCCTGTCCCCATGCTGCCCCCGCTTGCTGGGCCCCCACACCTGTACTCACATCACACTGCAGGACGAACTGTTTACCACCGCGGATCTTGAGAAGGAGGCACTTTCGCTCCTTGATCTGCGTCTCCTCCACCGACTGGATCTCCTCCATGGTTAGCAGGCTCTGCTGCAGGGCAGGGAGGGATGGGCAGGGACAGTGAGGGCGCAGGACAGGCCCAGCCAGCTACAGCCTCTGCCCCCTGGCCCCCAGCCCCAATCCTTACCGGGGCCTCGCCCTCGCCCCGCCACTCGAGCCTGTTGGGGAACAGGTAGAAGTACCGCCGCTGCCACTGGGTCAGGAAAGGGTTGCCCATCTTGGACATGTAGCCGTGCATGATGCAGTCTTTGCCCAGGGCGTAGTCTGCATGAGAGAGGGAGAGAGAGGCCCTGTCCCGGTTCGAATCCTGGTTCGGCGGCTTCCTGGCCGTGACCTTGGCTGGGTTCCTGAAACCCAAGCCTGTTTCTCATCTCTAAAGGGCAGTGGGCATACACGGCAGCCACAGGCCCTCACCTTCCTCATGGCCCAGCTGCTTGTTTTTGGTTTTCTTGCGGGTCTCCAGCCGATCTGTCTCAGCGTTGATGGTGTCGAAGACAGTCTCTGCCACCTCCTGCTGCCACCGCTCAGAGATGGTGAGGGGGAAGTTGCGGTAGAGCTCCTGGTCGCTGTCCAGCAACTGCACCATGGGGACGGGGCAGGGACATCCATCACCACAGGTCTGCCCAGCCCCAGGGACCCAGGCAGGGTGATCTGGTCCACCCCTAGAGACATTGGGGAGGAGGAGCCCGGGGCCCAGGGCTGGCGAAAGGGTCTTCTAGGGGCAGAGGAAGGATGGGGAAGCCCCAGGGCTGGGCTGAGGGCTCAGGTGCAAGGCCCGGCAAGGCCCAGTACCTTGATTCCTTTTGTGTCTTCCTCATCAAAGGAGCCGATGTCGAAGGCGTCAGCTGCGTTCACCTCCCCTCGTGGGGGGATCAGCGGGGGAGGGTACTGCGGCAGAACAGGGGCTGGGCATCAGCATGGGGCAGAGACAGCACAGCACTCTGCCAGCCCTGGCCCCCACTCTTACCTTCTGCAAGAAGACCATCTGCCAGTCTAGGGAGTGGAAGAAGGGGCTCTCCTTCACCTCCTGGGCCCTGTGGGGAGAGGGGGGTCATCTGGGCCAGGGCTATGTTGGTGTGGGGCAGGTGGCCCCAGCTAACTCCTGGTTCAGCCACTTTCTGGCTCTGTGACCTTGGGCAAGTTCCTTAAACCTGAGCCTGTTTCCTCATCTCTATTGTGGGGAGAGCAGCAGTTCCCACACCGTAGGGCTGCTTTAAGTTTTAATATTATGAGTCTTGCAACATCGTGCCTGGCACTTAGTAAATGTTTAATAAACATAAAAAGCTGCTGTTATCATCATTATCATCACCATCTTTGTTACAAGGGCTCCTCCGGAAGCCAGTCCCCAGCCAGCTCCAGCAGCTGCAACCCTGAGGATCTGGACACAGAGCTGGCTGTGCCCCAACCTGTGAGTTCCTCAAAGGAGGCTGGTTCCAGTAACGGACACAGCCCTTGTCCTCAGGGGGACACAGGCAGACGCCCAAGCAGGCTGGCCCAGCAGCCCACTGCAGAGGCCTGGACACCACAGCACGACTGAGTGCCCAGCGCCTGGCTGGGAGGCAAGGCCTGGGACAGTGGCCCTGGTCCCCAGCACTCACCCTCGGCCCAGGCAGCCCAGTCTCCTGTGGACATCCCTCTGCAATAGCCCCTCCAGCAAGGAACGGAGCTCAGGGGAGAAGGAGTCGGGCAGCTCCACAGCCTTCAGGAAGGAAGGGTGAGATGTTAGCAGGGGCCGAGGAAGAGCCCCTGGCTCCCAGCAGAGGGAGAAATGGGCCCAGCTTCCTAACTCACGCCCAGCAGCCATGTTTGCTCTGACAATATAGGGAAGGAGAGTCTACAGGGCAGGAGGCCAAAGTGGGGATGAGCCACCTGACATCATTGCTGGTAAGACTGAGAGTCTGTGACACTGATACCCATGGGAGACTCCAGCCCCCCTGTGGCCCCCCATGGACTCCATCCAGCACCCCTGGGCTGGAACCACACACTCACCATTGTCAATGTCATCCGGTCAATCTCATGCTTGTCTTTGGTCTTATGCTGCCGGAAGGGACTATGCCTGGGCAAGAGAGGTTAAAGGCCAAGGTCACAGGACAGGAATGGGGAAACTAAGGCAGACAGCATCAATGATCTTTGTCCAAAGCCAGGGACGGTGCCATTCCTAACAACCAGGCAGCTGTGGGCTCCTCCCAGCCTCCTCCCTGGACCAGGGAAGAGCCGCTCTGTCTGGTCTCGCCGCCTGAGTGAGACGACCACTCACCCCCGCAGCAGCTTGAAGAGCATGCAGCCCAGGGAGAACCAGTCGGCACTGCTGTCATAGGCCACTCCCTTCTGCAGCACCTCGGGAGCCATGTACCCATGGGTGCCCCTGTGGAAGCAAAGAGACCATGAGCACGTCTAGCAGAGGGTTTGGGAAGGAGGGTGCGGGCTGGGCACTCACACGCTGGCGTGGGGCTTCTTCTTGGAGAAGTCGCAGGCCAGGCCCAGGTCTGAGATGCGCACGTGGCCGTGCTCGTCCAGCAGGATGTTGGCCGGCTGTGGAGGAATCCCAGTGAGCTCCCCTGGGCGGCTCAGGACAGGGCCCAGCCAGGCAAGATGCCAGCTGGGTCGCTGCCTTCACTCTAGAGGGTTACGCATGTCCAAGGACCAGGCCCTGGGCAGGGTCTTCACCTCCTCCCCTCAACCACAATGTGAATCTAGTAAATGGCTCGGTGGGTGGGAGGGCGCAGTGGGGAGGAGCTGGCCGGCCCTGTCCGGGGCTTGCTATTCCCACGCCCTGCTGGGCCAGGTGCACCCAGAGGAGGGACAGGCGGCGGCTCACCTTCAGGTCCCTGTAGACGACAAAGCGATTGTGCATGTGCTCCAGGCCCAGGATGATCTCGGCTGCGTAGAAGCGCATGTCCGCTTCGGAAAAGACCCCATGCTGGGACAGGTGATAGTGCAGGTCCCCACCTGAGGTAGGCAGTGATCAGTTCCCTGCCCCGGTGCCCCACCCCAGCCCCTTGCTCCACCTGGGGCCAGGCACACTCACCGTTCATGAGATCTAGGATGAAGCTGAGTTTGTCCGGCGTGTGGAATGCGTACGACATGCAGACGATAAACGGGCAGTCCTGGGAGGGGACGGGACAGGAAGTCAGCAGAGGCTGCCCAGAGGTCCCGGAGCCAAAGGCTGCTCTGGTGGCCAGCCCACCTGGCCACCCGGCTCACCCCAGTGCTGACGAGGGACAGCATGATGCGCTCGTTCAGGGCCAGGGTCTCCCCCTGTTTCATCTTGATGCGTTTCTTGTCCAGACACTTCATGGCATACCTTGGGGGGGAGGGGTCAGTGAGTCAGCCCAGAGGCACTGTAGTCAGAGCCCAGGGCTGCTTTGGGGCCCAGAGTCAGGGTAGGGAGTCCTCAGGGCTCTTTGGGGGAATTTTGGACACCACAACAAGCTTATGACACAGAGAGGGCAAGAGAAAGTGCTGAGTTGGGGGCTCAGGGCTGAGGAGTGTAACAGACAAGCAAAGAATGGGGAGAGAGAGAGAAGCAAAGAGCGAGCACATACCCCTTTGCAGAGACCTGTTCATTCAGGACCCTGCCATCTGGCTCCTGGGGCCCTGATGCCCCTAGCTCGCCCATGGACACCCATGCCTCAGGGCACCCCCAGGGGCCCTCCCTTCCCTTGCAGGAGCTCACATCTTGCCCGTGTCAGCCTTCCGGCACCCATAGACCTCGCCGAAGCCCCCTCGACCAATGATGCGGTGCACACTGAAGTCATTCATGGTCAGCTGTGGGGGCAGCAACAACTGGGGTCATTGCACACCCTCACCACATGCTTACCTGCTTTAGGGAGCCACCCCATGGGGAACCTGGCACTGATCCCACAACCACTATACCTCCCAGCCCTGGCTAAGCCCAGGGGCCAGCTCCCACACCCACCCAGCCCACTCACATGGATGTTGAGCTCCACATTCTTCCACTGGCAAAATCGTGTGAATTTATCACTGTAAGAGAAGAAACCGAGCTCAGATAAGCTGCAGAAAGTAAATGGCATGATGCCGGGGGTGAGCTTGCCCCACCCCACTGCCATTCCCCGGGGTCTGGAACTGCGCAGGAACAGGGCCATTCCAAGCTGGGCCCCTACCCAGAACACCAGCCCGGGTGGGGCTTGGCCACCTATGTTTGGGTCCCTGCTACAATCAGATAGGTTAGAAAGGAGGTCCTCCAGCCTGACTTGACTTCCTGCTACCTTATCATTGACAATGCTCATCTCATCCCTGCTTGCATACCTCCAGTGACAAGGCACTCCCTCCCTGTGAGGCCCCCACTCCATGGCTGGGGAGCTGGGACCTTATGAAAGCTGTTCCTTACATCAAGCTGAAATTTACCTACAGTTTCCACCCATCAGGTGGGCTCTGGCCATGAGGGCAGGGGGTTGGGGCAATGTGTCCTCTTGTGTCTGCCCCTACCACCACCCAATGTTTCTCAGCCTAGAAGGCCCAGCAAGGTGCTAGACAGTCCATGGGAGGGAAGGGCTCACAGGTGGTCCTGTGGTCCCTGGAGAAGCACCTGGGACAGGCCTGGTGCTGAGAAGGGTAGGCTAGGAGTGTGGAGCAGGTGATGACCTGGCCTGCCTCACCTCTCGGGAGTCTCTGCACTGGAGTGTAGATGGACCCAGGCACCCCCCCTGCCTGGGGGCTAAAGCAGGCTGGCTTCTCTCCACGCCATCCACACTCCTTCTCAGGACGGCCTCTCCCTCCCCCTGCTCTCCTGCATGCACCCCACTCTCACCTCTCAATGAATTTCTGGAACACGTCCCCTCGGAGGTTCTGACAAATCTCCTCGATGTACGGCTAAGGGAGGAAGGCAGAGGTTTGTGACTGTGCCAGAGCAGGAGCTGATCAGGTTCCCTAACCTGGGCCCAAGGTGGCCCCAGCTGGGCCAGGAGGCAGGGGAGGAGTAAGGTCAGCACATACCTGGAAGAGATCCGGAGGCACCTGCCTCTTCACCAGATGGCCCTGGACGTGCTCAATGGCACTTTTCGAGAAGGGCTGGGGAAGACACAGATGGCTGTGAACTCTCCACAGGGTCCTTCCATCCCTTCCCGGTGCCCAGGTAGCTCTGGGCTGGCATGCAGGTCCAGGCACTCACGTGCGAGCAGGCCAGCAGCTCCTTCATGATGTAGGTGTCGAAGATCTCCCGGCTGCAGGTCAGGCGCTCCTCCTCTGTCTCCAGCTTCTCGTATTTCTTGATCTAGAGGACAGATCCCCAGGGTAACCTTTGGCCCAGCAGGGCCTAGGGGCACTAACGCCAAGCATCTTGTAGATTCAACAAAAGCAGCCCAACTTCATCCCCCTACCCCAGGCAGAGCAAGGGCTGGCCTCACCTCCTCGTAGAACTCCACCAAGGGCTTGGCCTCCTCCAGGTGTTTCAGGCAGAAGTCTCGGAAGAGCAGGTACCCTGAAAGCAAGGGTTGGGTCACCCTGAGCCATGCCACCTCGGAGGCCTTCCCATCACAGAGGGTGGTGTGCACTTGGGGCTCCCTGGGCAGAACTGGGCAAGGAGGCAACAGAGGTGGTCTCTGCCCCAGGCAGGGGCTGGGCAAGATGGCCTCGAAGGCTGCTGCCAACTGAAGATTCTTAGATTTGGGGCCTGCTTCCTCAGATGGCGGCCGGAAAGTGATGGGCACCTTGGTGAGGCAGAGGCCAGGGGCTGGCTCTGGCACCTGGGCCTCCTGCCATCTCAATGCAGTCTGGGACTTGCACCTCCTCCTAGAGGGTGACACCCCCACCAGGTGGGCCCCGCAAGTGCAGTGAGTCACCTGGGCCAGGCCAGAGCCATAGCACGGGGAAGGAAGGCGGCCTCTGAGGGGGCCATCCCCCTCTCCCTAGACCTTATAACCCCCTCCACCATCTGGCTGAGTCTCACAGAGGCCCTGAGACACAGGCACACAGGAAGGTGAGGTCCAACTGGGGAAACTGAGGCTCAGGGAGGTCTGTCAGGCAGGGGTTATGTGGCAGGTATGAGAACTCAGGGTTCATCTACCCAGTGGCAGGTCCTGAGAAGGACAGGTTGGGGAGTAGGGCCTTGAGGGCATGGGCCACTGGGGAAGGGAAGAGGTGAGACGGGCTGTGGCCAGGTCTCGCCCCTCCCAGGGAGTGGGGGCCTGAGGCCTGGCCTAAGAGCAGCCTTGGAGGGCAGAGAAGTACGGGTGGTCCCTGCACCCTCCAGCCCAACCTGGGTGGCCAGCTTGTGCCGGGGAGTTTTCTATGCCTCTCTGGTGGCACTGTCTCCATGGCCTGGGCACCTCTGCCAGTGTGCACGGCCATCACTTCTGATAGAGAGGCCTGGCCCTTCAATACTGTGCCTTTGAGTAACTCGGGACAGGGCTTTCCAGTGGACAAGGGGCTTTCACTGGCACCCTCTTCCAGCCCTCCGACAGGCTCCTGAGTAGCAGGTCCCAGGTGAGGACACCAGCAGGCTGAGAGAGGTACAGCTATGTGCCCAAGGTCACACAGCACAGTCAGGGGACCCAAGCTGTGTGTTTCCTTACACACTGGCCCCCTCGAGCCTGACCTCCAAAGCCTGCTCCCACCAGGCCAGGCTACTCCCTTTTCGGAGCTGAGAGCCTGTTCTCCAGAAGCCAAATCAGAGCTCTGTGTGGCTGGAGCTGCTTCCCTGAGATCCACCCCAACCGTGCCCTAGGGCCAGGTCCCCATTCTAGACAACTGGCACTGGAGGAGGAACAGAGGACCAGGCTGAAGCAGGTTGCTCACAAAGAGGGCCTATGGGGGAGGGGGTGGGCAGACCACAGCGAGGCAGGCGCCACAGGAAGAGCCCCGCCCCTTCCTGTCAGTTCTACCAACGGCCCAGAGCAGCTGTGCCTGCGCCAAGGGGAAGCTGCAACTCTCAAAAACAAAAACCCCAAAGGAGGAACTTCCCCGGTGGCCCTGGAAGACTGCTGGGCCCCCACCCCTTCACAGGGCTCCCTGGGCCCGCAGCCAGGGGCTGGGAGGCACAGCGGGTCACAGCCTTGCTGTCACCCAAGGGCTCACTGGCTGTCCTGCCCCCATGGATCGGAAGCCAAACCTCCTGGGAGCCAGCCTCAGGGTCCTCCTGCCCCCACACTCCAATCTTTGGGGCTGATGGAGTCCCCACTGTACTCACCCAGTTTCTGGGAGAAGATCTTCTCAAAGGTCACCTCGCCCCGGTCCTCCAGGTACTTCTGCATGACACTGCGGATGCTGAAAGATAGAGACCATGGTCATCTGGAGCCCTGTGACACCTATCAGGCCTCCTGGCCCTTTTCTGGCCCTGCTCTCCTGGAAGGCGGTTGCCTCCTCTCCCAGAATCCAGAGCCAGAGGCCACTGGTGGTGGGTGTCACTGCTCCCTCTAGAAAGGTCACATCAGAGGGACCTGGGAAAGCCTATGCCTGCTCCATAAGGCTCTGTCCCCAAAGCTAGGGTTTCCAGCAGGTGGCTGCTGAGAAGTCTGGTCCCAGCACTGCTTTGTGCTGGCTTTGGGGACTTGGCCAAACCTCAAAAGTCAGGCCTCGCCCAGCAGCAGACGATGGATAACCAAACTGTGGCCTATCCGGAGGATGGAGCATGCGCCGCTCGGCAGAGACGCGCCGAGGCAGTGATATACCCGTAGGCTACAATACGACGGACCTGGAAAGCACTCCACTAAGTGAAAAACATAAGTCATAAAAGGTCACGTTATATGATCCCATTTATATGAAATGTCCAAAACGGGCAAACCTATGGAGACAGGAAGCAGATTAGTGGGTGCCAAGGGCTGGGGAAGGAACGGGGAGTGGCTGCTAATGGGTATGAGAGAGAGACACACAGATTGGCTGCCTCCGGCACCCACCCCAACCGAGGCTGGGGATCGAACCTGCAACCCACGTACATGGCCTTGACTGGGAATCAAACCCCAGACCCTTCGATGGGCAGGCTGGTGCTCTAACCACTGAGCCACACCGGCCAGGGCAATAAATTTTATTTTTTAAATACTTTTATTTATTTTTAGAAAGAGAGGAAGGGAGAGGGAGAGAAACATAGATGGGAGAGTGCAACATTGATCAGCTGCCTCCTGCACGCCCCCGACCAGGGATTGAGCTTGCAACCCGGGCATGTGCCCTGACAGGAATCGAACCAGCAACCTTTAGGTGCATGGGAGGATGCCCAACCAACTGAGCGACACTGGCCAGGGTTAAAATGATAAATTTATGTTACATGAATTAGATCTCAATTTTTAAAAATAGTTTTAAAAAAAGGCTAAGCCTCAGTTCCCACGTTCCTAATACCTGCCCCTGGGTTGCAGCGGGGGAGGGGGTGGCCACTCTGACACGGAAGCCCAACCCCATGCTCCCGCCCATTTGTCTCATCCCCCAACACTAAGCACTGTCCAAAAAAAAGAGACACTGGACTATATTTCATGCCTCAGACACACCTTTCTGTCCCCTCCTCCCCTTTCCTGGGCTACTTGCTCCCTGCCCTGCAGGCCTGCCTGTCATGACGGCCAGCTGTGGTCACATCTGGCCCTCACTAGCCCAGGATCCTGAGCAACACTCTTAGCTGCCTGTACTGAGGGCCATGCTGGGCAGTCACACCTAAGGCCATGCAAGGCTCAAGTGACCCTTAGGATATGTGGGGCCACCCACAGGCCACCAATGAAGAGACTGCAGCTGATAAGGACTTGGATGGGAAAGTCCAGGCTGTGCCCTCACCTCCCTGCCTCCCTGCATCCCTTAGAGCCCAGCATGGGGCCCTGGCCACAGGGGCCTGCTGTACATCACCTACTGGGGGGCAAGGTATCCTGCACCCCTGTCCTCCAGGTAGGCCCTCCCAGGGCACAAGTCCTGGTTCTATGACATTAGACAGAGTGTGACAAAGCCTGAGTGGGGCCCAGTCAGATGGAGGAGACTCGGGGAGGTAAGAATGTTCTGGGCCTTCGGGAAAGGCTGTGTGGAGAAGGCGGAACTTTAGTGGGTTCCTCAAGCGCAAACAGGATGTCAGCAGGTGGTGAAGCCCAGGGCAGGTGAGTGGGCTGAGGACAGGCTGGGGAAGGCTGGGCCAATGAGCAAGGAGCCATGGGGCGAGGAGTGACGGCAGGGGGTCCAGGCAGGGGGTGAGCAGACAGACGCCACTGGGGACACCCACTGGAGGAAGCCCAAGTATCTGACAACACTGGGCCGGGAAGGCGGGAAAGAAACAGGGTGAGGAGAAGGCTGGAATGGACAGAGCGCTGACAAGGCCAGCTGGAAGGCAGGCCAGTGCGCCTGTGGACCCTGCCCAGCCTCCTCCTGGGCTCGAAGGAAGGGGACTCCTACCCTTTTCCACTCAGCATTTTCCTTCAGAGATGGTCTGGGTGGGAGCCCAGGCCCCAGCCTTCCTAGGCCTTTGCTCATGTTCAAGTCACACAAGAAAAAGCCACACAAGAGAACACGGGAGCACGCAGAGCTTGGAACCTCCTGTTCAGACCCTGGGACAGTTGGGTTGGGGGTGCTGAGGCCGAGCGCAGGGGGAAGAGCCCAATCCAAGGCAGCAAAGGCTCACAGGGTGGTGAGACCAGGCAGCCAGGAGTAAGGGGCATGAGCCCCGGAACACTGCAAGGGCCAAGTGCCTAGATTTCTCCCGTGAGAGGGGCCAGGAAGGCAGGGTTCTCACCAGCCCTTGGCTCGGCCCTGGGCTCTGCGTCTGCATCCCAGCCCTGTGGAAGGGGATGGGAAGAAGCTATAGAGAGAAAACATATCCCCAAACGTCATCCCCCTTGGGGTGGACAGTGAGACAGTGGGCAGGTGTGCTCAGGTGGAATGTCCAAACAGGTAATGCAGATGGCAGGCAAAATGACCCCAGCCTGTCTAGATGACCCCACCATGGCCCCTGCAGTAGTCACTGGGAAGCCCTCCTGAGCCCCAAACTTGCTTCCTGGGAACCAGCAAGACTGGCACCAGCTCAGCAAAGGAGCTGCAGTGGGAAGGCCCACAGGGAGCCAGGGAGCTGTCCCGCCACGTGACTCAGTGGCCCTGCAGAGCAGCGAAGAACTGGACACCCCAAGGTCCCCACCAGGAATCACTCTCTAAGAGGGCCTGCCCACCAGAGAGGAAAGGCTGCAGACAGCAGAGCCCTCCTTACTGGGTGGCTCTGCTGTCATCTCAGCCCAGGGACAGTAGAAAGTGGATCTGCTCTGCGCTGCCTGGCAGCCAGACCCCGCCCCCCACAAGCCTGCATGGGAGGCCGCAGCATGCTTCCCAGCCCACACACTTCACTTTCTTCCTTAAAAAGAAAAAAATGTTTTCTAAATAAAATAAACACTCCCCCCCAACCAAACACAAGGTCAGACTCGGGCAGAGCCCTTGAAGGGAAGGCCCCCAAAGCATAGGGTTTCCTGTCCATTCCCACTGGGCTGGCAGCCGAAGGAGCTGCCAGGTTAGAAAAACGTGTCACAGGGGACACTCCCACCAGGGTGGCAAGTACAGGCTGGCACAGGAGGTGGTGATGGCCTCCTGGGCTGGGTCACCTTTGTCTCCAACACCCGCTCCCTGATACTGGCGGAGTCTGGAGTGGTGGGGAGCCCAGAGCAGCGTTTCTGCTTCAGCCCAAGTCAACAACCCCAATATGCAGAAGCACATGGCTCCCACATCAACTCCGGGTGGTCAAGAGAGCCAAGTGCCTGCATCTTCCTTGCCAGAAGAACTTAAGGCTCCCAGTCGAGGGGTGCCCAGGTTTGGGCCTCAAATGGCTCTCCCCACTTCCCTCCCCAGAGGCCAGGCCAAGTCACCAACTTGAAACGTCCAGTTTCCTCATTTGTAAAATGAGGATGTCAACAAAATTCTGAACTGTCACCACAGCGCTGGCCATTTAAAAAGCCTGAGAGGCCCTGGCCAGTGTGGCTCTCGGCTGAGAGTCATCCCCTGCACTGAGAGGTTGCAGGCTGCTTCCTAGTCAAGGCACACGCAGGATCAATCCCCAGCAGGGGGGCGTGCGGGAGGCAGCCCATGAGAGTGTGTGTGTGTGTGTGTGTCTTTCGCTCTCTCCTTCCCTTTTTCTCTCTAAAAATCATTAAAAATATAAAAAATAAATAAAAATAAAAAGCCTGAGAGGACATAGAACTCTTCCAAGATGCCAGCCTTGCTGTGAGGGCTATCAGCTCATGTCTCCCTCCTAGAGGGACCCCACCTGCTGGGATCCTACACCTGCGCCTCCTTCTAGACTGTGACCATAAGCTACAGTCTTGTTTGGGTCTGTGTCCCACACCTGCCATGTTCTTGGAGAGGGGTCTGTGGCCAGGGGGCCTCCTGGCCAGGGCGGACCCAGGAGTGCAGTCTGACCAGCCTCACACACTCATGCTGCTCAGCCTGGGGGATTCAGGCAGAGCCCAATACCTGCCCTGCCAAAGTATCGGGGGGCCCCTCAGCAGGAGGCCTGCCCTACCATGGCAGGGAGCTGCCGGATCTGGCTACCTGGCACTGCCACCTGCAGCCAGGGCTGTTCACACCAGCTCCAGCTGCTCTGAGGAACAGGCCCAGCCTGACACAGTGTGTGGGGGCATTTCCTCCCTCTCAGCCTAGAGTAGGGGTTGGGGTGACAGGACAGTAGGCAGGGAGGGGGTGAGAACTTCCGGTACCTTCTAGCACCACGTGGTTCACAGGAAAAGCAAAGGCCCTCGCTCTGTGGCGCAGTGGCCTGGCGGGCTGGTCTGGGCCCTCATCAGTGACTACTCAGGGTCACACATGATAGCCTATGTGGACTGGGAGGGACTGCAGGGGTCACAGACAAGCACACTGATTTGACAGTGAGGAAATCAAGGCTAAAAGAAGCGGAGCCACTGACCCAGAGTCCCACACGGCGTTAGTGGCAAGAAAACATCCAACCTCCCTGAGAAAGAGCCTCCCACCAGGAGGGAGCTTCCCCTTAGCCTTTATGGAAGAGTAGGGTACAGGGTCCCAGGGGACCCTGGCTTGTGACCCGGCGGCCTTCTCCTCCATCCCATGCCAGTGGCTGCAAGCAGCATCTCCCCTGGGAGCCCACCAGGCTGAGGCTGGGGGCAACTCTGGCTGGCATCTAGCAGGCTAAGGACCATGATTCTTGTGCCCCTGTGTGACATGGATGACAGGGCTTTGAAATCCCAGGATAATACAAGCTGGCACGGGGGCCAGGGACTGGCAAGTCCGGTGCAGCCATGCTGGAACTGCCATGCTCTGGGAGGTGACAGCTAACAAGCCAGCGGAGCGGA